AAAACAAGTAAACATTAAAATATCTAAAGGAATTGGAGTTCTGTATAAACTAAGGCATTATGTGCCAAAAACTACTTTAAGAACACTTTATAACCCATTCATTCAATCCCATGCAATGTATGGCATATTAAATTGGGGGTGCGCAAACACATCAACTCTAGAAACCCTAAAATGCAGCTTACGAAAAGCTGTTAGAGTAGCTGACTTTGCATCGTACACTACACATAGTGACCCACTCTTTAAACGTTTGAAACTTTTGAATTTTGATAATCTTTACAAGCTTGAAACAGAAAAATTCATGTTCCAAATAAATAAAGATGCTAGTTCCTCTACTTTAGGAGCGGAATTTCTAAAAACAAAAAATCTTCATCATTACAATACTAGACAATCTTTTAGTTTTTCTCTTCAATCGATTTCCACAAATTTTAAAAAAAACTTCCTTACATTTGATGGTGTTAAATTATGGAATTCTCTGCCTCTCGACTTGAAAAATGCTCCCACTAAGCTATTTTTCAAAAGAAACATGAAAAATTACCTTCTAGAGAACCTTTAGTCCTATTTATTTCCATTCTAACACAATTGAACTATTTATGCATATTGTAAACCATTATTATTTGATTTCTGTTTTTCTTTTTTAAATTGTTATTTTTTTACTTCTGATTCTTACTGTTATTATTCAAACAAAACTAATATTAAATTATCGTCATTCCGCGTCAAACTGGGCACATGGCTCTGATAGCTCCTTCGTGTGTTTTTCCATGTATCCATCGGCTGATCTTATATAATATCTTATGTTGTTCCTTGTAATGTAATCTTTATTGTTATTAATGATTGTATCTTACCAACTAGCATGACGTATCTTGTAATTGATTGATTTGTTGCTGAAAAAAAGTTTTGATTTGATGTAAACAGTCCGATTCAGAGAAGATATAAATTGCTATAAAAATAGATTTAACAAGATAGGACACAATAAATGAATAAAAAAGTCAAGAAGAACTGCTACTACTTGATTCGTTAGAGTAAACTTTCCAAAGCTGCCTTAGAGCAAACTTTCTAAAAATTTCCTAACCTATTATTGCAAACAAGTGGGGGGGGGGGCTAAAGCCCCTGTTAGCCCAATGGCTGCGCGGTGCCTGCCCCTGAACAATGTATGGTTTATTTTTCATCAAATAATTTGAAAGAACATTTTCAATAGCTGGAGGAGCCGAATTTTAATTTTCCCGGGGGTAGCTCAAAAACTCGATTATAGGATCATTTTATTTTATGATCATAAAGGCCATTTTTATATAGAGTACCTCTTCTGCCAAATGCACCTTTTGTGAATCGCAGTTTCTCAAATCGAGAGTGTATGATGCTAATTTGAATTTCCCCAAAACTCTTGCCTACGTTTAAAAGCTACCAGGGGTGACACAGAGAGAAGCAATGACTACACTTTTTAATATTAGAATGCAAAAATTTTTGCTCAGCCTCTACTTTTTTTAAGAAAATTTTGTTTTGAGCCTCAATATGTTCTTGGATACATCCTTATTTTTTCGAATCCGATATGGTTTTAAGAAGAAAAACGCTTGCTCTTGAATGAAAAACACCACCTTTTCTTTCTTTCCCCAACGTCTGTCACCAGAGTTTAAGCATAATTAACTATGGTTTAAGCATGACTCTCCCCTTACCCAATTTCTCTCAGAAACAGTAATCAGTGTTCTTCTGGGAAACGTCGATTTTTCTCTTTTGAACAGTATAGTATTTTGTTAAACTTGGTCTGGGAGATGCTTTTTAACTATTTAGAAGGCATGATTTAAAAAATTTTCTTTCACGTCGGCCTCCACCTACCCTGGGTACCAGACTCACTATATAATATATAGTGAGTCTGGTACCCAGGGTAGCCTCCACCATGGTGGGTTCCCCTACGTCACTAAGCGTGATTTTCAGCCCCCCAGGTTTAATTTCTTCAAGCTGTCTCTGAAAAAATGTTATCAACTCAATTATAAAAAAGTCAACGTGCTAAGCAATATCTGTAAATACCTTCTATAGAGCTAAAAATACTTTACAAAATCTAATAATCTTTCTTTTTGTCTTTTAAGTCGTTTGCCGCTCAAGCTGTTTCCATATCACATACCGTAAATTGCTTGGTGGTGCCACGACCCACTGCACACTTTACATTCATTTGCTCTGCTGACCCCCCTCCCCCTTTTCAATTGATATGACAGATTTACGGCCCTGCAGCAAACTCTACTTACTATCACTTCGCCTAAGTCAAAGCATGCTCTCAAAATGCCAGCATGCATTTCGAAAGCTGCACAATACGTTGACCTCACTACTCAAATGTCACTGGCTCATGGTTCTCAAATGCCGCTAAACGAAAGATAAATAATAGCATCTTCCTTGATCTAAGAAAGCATTTGACACTGTGGATTACAAAATTCTGCTCTCTAAGTTATCAAATTATGGGATAGGAGGAACCTTTCATCAATGGTTTACATCATACCTAACTGATAGGATACAATACTGCGAAATCAATGGTTCCAGTTCACAACAAAAAAAGGTTCAGTGTGGTATTCCCCGGGGTTCGTGCCTTGACCCCCCCCCTTTTCATCCTATACGTAAATAATTTTGAGCGATGCTTAGAAAAAAGCGCAACAAATATGTATGCAGACGACACTAGCATAAGATGCTCTGCAAAAGACATTGAGGAACTGTGCAATGACTTAAAACTGAGGGTAAGAACATTGCAGAGTGGATGCGGCAAAATAAGCTTAGTCTGAACACCAATAGAACTGGATATATGGTCATTGTTCATAAAAGACGAATTAACCATATCCAGAGGTAGATAAACGTGGAAATGAATGGAGAAAAAATCCAACGAGCCCATGAAGTAGAATATCTCGGGGTCACTATCGATGAAAACCTATCTTGGAACAAGCAGTACAAGAGGCTCAAGTGTAAACTTAAAAGTGGTCTCTCTTCGTTGAGGAAACGTAAAAATATGCTCCCACAGTCGAAATTAGAGCAGGTTTATGAGGAATTCTGTCCGCTATAAAGTTTGAACATCTTTAGCGTCTTCAAGACAGGGCTCAAACATTAATTGAAAGTGCTAAATTCGAGGACGGGTGGATTTGTAAATGGCTTCCAGCTTCGAACCTAATTGAATATGACAGGGCCATAATGACGTACAAAGTGATGAAGATCTTTACCTTGACAGCCTTAGAGGTAAATTTATCACTAGATCAGAAATATCCAGTTATTCGACAAGGAATCAGCTTGATATTGACATCCCAGGGCAAAATTTAAAATTCTCAAAGCGAAGTTTCTTTCACCCTGGGGCCAAAACATGGAATGAGATTCCAAGAAACATCAGAATGAGCCCCGCAATTTCCATGTTTAAAATAAACTTCAAGGGATTCCTATAAAGTTAATAAATTCCCAAAACAAAACACGATCTCTAGGTAGAGCAGCAACATCTTTATTATGTATAAATCAAAAAATTAATTGGTAGTAGAAGTTTATTTATATTGTAGCTGATAGGGAATTCGTGAATAAAGATTCTATAATGTAAATGGAATTTACATTCTCATAATGTTAAGACCCAAATATGAAAAACTATTCAATTTAGCTCCGTTTTAAGTCAAAATCCGTTTACAGTCATAAGTTTGCAAGCAACAGTTGGTGTCACTATAACCGGAGTTAACTGGAGTTAACTGTCATTGCAGGCGTAGGAATCACGAGTTGTGGTCCCATCGAGAGGGAGGACCAGAACACTATTCGATAAGCATTAATTTTCAATGTTCTATGACATACCTTCAGATGCTAGGTAGAGAGAAATGAAACATAAATTGGAATGGAAGGCCAGGGTACTCTCCTGTTTCAATGTTAACTAATCAGTAGGCGTTTGTGTCAATAGCTGTGTCCAGGTCAGTAGATGTTAGATGTAAATCGAAATAATGAGTGCTTGATTGGCTAGATTTAACCAATCACCATTGACTAACATCTGTTATGGCTGGAGAATCATGCTGAGTAAAACGCCAGGTAAACATGTAATTTCTTATCTGATATTGTCACTTTGCTAAACACGAAACTAAGAATGATCGTCTTGCCTGATTAAATATCCATTATGCTAGGATTCTGCACAATTTCCATATCCTGGAAAGTATTGCAAACATTGCAAGACCTTGTGTTACCATCCGCGGCAATTTTTCGTGCTATATGGCAAAGCAATCCACTAACCACCAGCATATCTATCCATTGCCAAAACTCTGTGCCTCAACCTAGGGGTAGAGATACAGTGCATGCAAGCAATGCTGATTAACGCCTTGATGAGTGGATTCTTGCTGATATCTAGTTGGATATTATTAGGCCACATCCTTACTCTACTGTAACCCTAGAAACCATGATTAGTATGAAGTGTATTCCTGTGTGGAATGTTGAAACCCAAAAATTAAATGAGACCCCAATTAGTGGCGGACACTCGGGGGGCAAGCGGGACCATGAAAAATCAGACACACTGCGCTTGCCTTGAAATAAACAAATATATAAAAGACAGCACTAAAAATGAAAAACCGAGGGTCCCTATTCAGACAATTTCTGAGGAAGCAACCCCTTTGGATCCAGTGCTTGTGATTTTATTAAAGCTGGGTTAAACTTCAGTCAGTATCCATAAAATCCTGAATAACTTTGCAGGCAATGACAAATCGTAAGGGACGATTATTATTTTTTTGAAGTAACTAATAATGGCATTTATATAAATCCAAATTGTAAATAAAAGGTCAACCAATGAAGCGATTTCAAAATCAAAATTAATTTTTGTTGGCAAAAATGTTTGTTAGCCTGTTTGTTGGATGATTTTATAACTTCAAAACAACAGTTAATGGAGATTGCTTTCTTTCAAATACTGCCTTTTGGTATTGCAAAATTTGAAAAAAAAGCAAAAGAAAGAGGAACCGGTCATACTAAAGTCTGACACTATGAAGAGCATCATACTAAAGAGTGTAAATACAAAATAATGAGAATTAAGGTAGTAAATATTGAATAATGAGAATTAAGGTTAAACATAACATCATATCCGGATGGGAACAAAAAATAACATGGAAAGAAGAATTATTATTTGATCAATAATAATAACAGTATCAGGGCTGCCTTCTCCATTCTGGAACAGTCACACGTTCTTCAGACACTGAAGCAATAACACAGGCATTAAAATGGGTCCACTTTTTCTTTGATCCTTAAAAGTTTTTAGCGTCTTTTTTTCAGTAAATTTTCTATTTTGGTATTCTTTTGTTTTAAGTTCTTGATGGTTCCCTCCCGAGCTCCACACCTTCTGCAAAGTGCATTTTCCTATTTTCCCTGATTAGTCTCTTTTAAGTCAGTCATGTTTAATTTTTTCACTAATAGAGCTTGTCTTTTTTGGAATTTATGTACACTTTTGATTGGTTCCTTGTTTTGACCAATCAACAGCTACTAAACTCTCACATATTTAAAGGGCTCAAGAGTGAAAACAAACTTATCCTGTCTATACAAGTAATAAATATATTTGAGCAATAAGATATCTTGATAATATATATGTACCAGTGGCAGGGGCATGCTCTGACAGGACATGAATGGGGAATTAAAGCGTCCCTTCCCTGTAGAGGTGGTTCTGGGGGTCCATCTCTACTATTAGCCCCTTAATTTTATTTATGACCATGACAACAAACCAAAACTCAAGACTTTGGGATAGTTTGAGGGTCATGGTAGCCAACCTTCTGATAAAAGATGGTACCTGATAATGAAGATATATGTACCCCTGTAACAGTGCCTTAAGACTGTGTTACTTAACTAAATTTCTATTTTAATTGATATTTTTGAAATTTAATAGCTACTCAGAAGGTATTTGTATCAAATTTTTCAAAATAAAAAAATTGACACAATTTTGTGAAGGAAAAGTAGCTTGAAACCGTACTAAAACATTATAGAAATGTAAGACCAACAGCTCATTTGCTTCGGCAAGGCTTGCTCTTGTCAAAGGTGGTCTTGTTTCGGACAACAGAGCCTGTTCCACAGGAAATTGGGATGCAAAAAGGGAGGTAAATTGAGGGTTTAGTTAGACTATCTTAGTTCCTTATTTTATCTTAGTAGCAACAAATGAAAGATTAATATACTTCAAGTTTTTCAAAATTCTATCACTTTTAGTATTTCTGCAATATTTTTAATTTAACAGAAAAGATAAGCTATTTATTTTCAAAAGCCAAAGCTAGAAACAAATTACAGTAATTACAATTAAATAACCCTGTTTGAACTATTAATTACCCTGAGTATCACTTCTACAAGAGACAGTTTCTACATCTGAAAGAAGTTTTTGCTTTTTCTTCTTGAGCTCCTCAAAGTCAAGAATTATTCTATGAAGCCTTATCTTGGCATTAACAGCTTGAACTACATTATTTGTGGCCTCTTGAAAGGAAACTTGACCTTGTCTCAAACAAGTTGGCGCAAGATACCCGAACCATTTCAGTGGATCAGGCCGTAGTTCTGTTTCATTGGTACAATGTGAAATTTTGTCACTTTCCTCCATAATTGATTCACTTTCTTGCTTTTTGGATCCAGCATCATCAGTATTCACAATTTCCGTTGTTTGTATAAAACGTTTTCTTACAGTATTTGTAGCCGCATCTCCTTGGTTGCTTATCTCCACATTCATGTTTTGGGGCTTTTTACCTGTATGAAAGAAGATTAACTCAATAATATCTTTCTCGTGTTTCTCAGCAGACATATGCTCGTTGCAGGTTACTTCAACCAACGGCCTAAACTCATGGTCTGGAATCTGAAGCTCACTAATTGAGCCAACACCTATCGAGTATCTTGTTTTCGAGATGTTCAAGTAACCATTTTTTACATTTTTTGATAACGTTTCCATAAAATAGCGATATCTGCTCCATTCTACGAAAAACTTTCGCATCAGTGTGTCAAGATCTGTACAAATGGCATCAAGATCATCCGCCATAGTTGCGTTTTGGAAGAGAGGGTAAGTGTCAGGTCAACCTCTTTTTCAGCAAGCCCAGAGTGCTTCAACTTTTGCCGGAAATCCGATCGCATCATCGGAAAATCCATGGAAATCATTTTGTTTTGTGGAAATCTTGTACGCTTTTTGCAAGAGCGAATTGCTCCCAAGTTCGGATACGTGGACAAGGGCAGAGGAAAAACCCTTTACTGGAATCGAGTTTTCTGGTATTAAATCAGTACAAGGTGGCATCTACCATTTCGGATCTGAGTCCTATATTTCAGCGTATTAAAATTTGTAATTTTACAAAGCTTCGCACTTTCATCCAGATTTGCACGACTTTTGTCGACACCAGTTTTGCACGATTTTCACCGGCATTCGACATCAAATGTAGCGACTACGTCTGTTGTGACTACTTGAAATGGTTTACACAAAGTCCAAGTGTTAATTACAAAAAGGTTTTATACCAATAAGTGTCACTGGCGCATTCCGATTCTCATAAGCAACAAATGCACATTTCTAAACAAGCCCTTTGCTACCAGATAACGAGAGAGAAATGAAGCTTTTTCTGTTCACCCTCTGAATTGAAACGCCTCCATGCAGGTGTTCAATCCTCTGAAAAATCTCAAGGGCAGCTCCGCTGACAGGGCACGAGGGGCTTGTTCAAATCTGTCTATGTAGCAGGGTTGGTAAATTGGCTTTTTTTAAGCCAAACTCCAGAAATTTGGCTTTTTTCGAACTTGTTTGGCTTCAAAAATTCCTTTTGGCTTAAAGTAATTTTTTGGCTTAATTTTGGCTTTTTCCCAAAGTACGGGCATAAGTACTTATTTCCTACCTTCCTTCTTTTTTCATCATTCTAACAGAAATTGACAATTCAAGCAGTTAATGCATATATTTTACTGTGATTTTGACATTTTGTTGAACATCTGCGATTTCATCCACCTTGCCCGATCGTTACGTGGTTTTCGCTTTGTTCTTCATTCTTTCTGTCCGTTGAAGCAGGGTTTAATGACCGCGATGTGAAAGGGGGGGGGGGACTTGGAGGAGGTTGTATCGTATGGACTGACCTTGTACTTCATCTAAATCCGATGATAAAATATTGAGGGAAGGGAAAATTTTCTGATAGCAAAAACGGCCAAGCCTAAAATTTTCTGTTTGCTCCCCTATCGCTTTGTTTTAATTTTACCAAAAATGCGCTCCCACATACATGTATACACATACATACAAAATACATGTATATCATGCGCTAGAATTCTACGAATACAATGAAAAATTGTTCCGTCAATCAGTTGAAGAGTACCTAAGAGTGGAAAATTTAAGCCGTGGGTAGAGAAATATGTAAGGGTTAAAGGGGATCAAGCACCCTATGGATTGAACAAAAAAGTTACTTCTAGCCTCGTTTACAACTTGAAATTGTCTATTGTTTTGCTGCCTCGTTTACATTTTGGCTTAATTTGGCTTTTTTCAAACATTGATTTGGCTTGAAGCCCCAAAAGAATCTACCAACCCTGCTATGTAGTCAGAAGGTTAACGAACAGGGCCGCCGGAGCCAGGGGGCCACGGGGGAACAGGCCAACATGATTGCAGAAAGTGCAAAAATAGACCCCTTTTTGAAAAATATATTGCTTGATTTTTTCATTGCCAGATATTCTGCCTTTAGAGGCTCAGTAAAATAACCTAAATCTAGGCGTTTTTGGAGGAGATTAACTGAAATTCCTTACATTTTTACTTGGTCATGATGCAAAAAGCGCAAGCTCTTGTGATGAACAACATCAACTGACAAGGAGACTGGCAGTTTCGCGCGAAAGTTTTCACGAGAATGTCTTCAGCAACAAACGCATTAGTGAAAGGTCAGCATCAAGTGTAAGGAGAGTTGAAAACTTGCTTCGTTCATCGATGACCCAAGGACAAATTAACCAGTGCATGATTCTTTTGATACATAAAGAAAAGACTGATGAGATGCATTGAGTACCAACAATTGCAGCGAGATTTATTTCGGTGAAGCAGGGTAACCGAAAATTAATCCCACCGAATTTTTTTTTGAAATCGAGATTTTTTTGAAACCGAAATTTTCATGCGCTAAACAAATTTCGTTTAACACCGACGGACTTTCAAACTAATAAAACATTTTCTTGATATTGTCTATGCATAAAATACATATCATGTTTGATTTTTGGCTTTCCTTCGTTATCAACAAATAACATATCAAGCTCATCTTAACTTTCTTCTCTTTCGTCCTCCACATCCAATAAATTCTCCATGGGCTGAGCTGGTGCTTCTTCTGTTTCTTCATAATTTCTCTCAATCATTTCCTTCTAACGATCCAGCAGTTTCAATTTCGATGCCTTAACTCTAAATCGATTAGAATTTTCAATCCCCTCGTTGCGGTAGGCGATCGAAAATATTGCGAACTGTAAACGCCTCCAATTAATTTTGCTCCATGGGCTATAAAAATGAAATGAAAAAAGACCCCCTCTAGATAAGAGTTTATGAAATTTTACCTACTCTTCAGTTTCATTTATTTGGCTGATATCGAAATTATCGATTTTTGTAATTTTCATTCCAGATAATTTTATGTTGAAGATAGAAATGAATTACAGAAAGTGTTTCTTTACTCAACGAAATTTACGCCAAAATGTGAAAAATATGACCGAAAATTTTGTGGCTTTTAGAAAATATTTCATGGAGGCGAAACAATTTATGTGTTCCAAGTTGCATTGGGGTGAGAAGTGGCGAATACCAACCAAAGGAGGCTAAATTGCTTAAATGTAAAATTAGGAAAAATTAAGATAAATATTCGATTGGACTTAAGAGACTGAAACTTAAGCATTTGGTTGAACTTTTCAGCGATCGCCAGGGAAAAGTTGCGTAATTTTATACAAATTGCAAGATGGCAAGCTTTAGAGGTTGTTGTCTCAGGCAGATCAAGGCCGACTTGCGGACAGCATAGGACAAATGTGAAAAGATGGAGATTATGAATCTCATATTTTAAACGGAATTGAATAATTCATGATGACAAAGTTTCATCTCCAAAATGAGGTGATAAAATTCGTCTTTCTTTTAACGTTAACAAAACAATTGTCTCGGTTTCTAGACTCTATATTTACTACTTTCTCTCTGCCTTAAAGCTAAAAGAAATGCAAAACGCTGTCTATCCTCCATGTATGTTTTTGATTAAGTGTACCTGAAGGCGCCAGAAGTGAAAAAAAAACATTGGGTTCCTGCGTTTTGCTAGCGATCAGGAAAGAAAATTGAGACTCTAACCGCCACCTGTTTGCTGGCGGCCGCGCGAAGCGATCGCTGCTAGAATTTGCTTTGAAGTAGATAGAGACTAAAGATTCAAAAATTCCTTTCAGTTCTTTGCACCATATTTTGGGCTGAAGTTTGAAAAAAATTCAATTTTGTATGTATGATTCCATCAATGTAGATTCATCTGTATGTTGCGATAAATGTGTTCTCACTACGTGCGATGTGTGTTATTCTTTTGACAAATGTTCAAATTACCATGAAAGCTGAACCCTTGGTGGCAGTTCTATTCGGTTTGGCCCCAACCTCATCCTGGACAGACCATCGCACAGACATGGGCTCTGGCACAGTTTAGAAGGGGGGGGGGGGGTTGGGTGAAGGAAAATTTAAAACCTATAACAAAAGATTTTGTGAAAAGTTCTATTGTTTTGCAGAAAAGTGGGGGTACCATGCCGCCCCTACTCCCTTCCTTGGAGGCCCTGGCTGACCAATCTTTGCATCAAAAATTTCTTTCTCGGATAACTCTCCCCTTTTACATGACATCGGCCGACGTCATCACTTGGTGTGAGCAATGAGCAGAAAGAAATTCACACGGTTCAAACCGAAATGATTTTATTTTCAGAAAATCGGTTTGTCTATGCATGCAAGATATTTCGACAAACTGACATTAGAACTTTACATTGCGTAATTTTTCATAACAATATTATATTTTTTTCATCATTTACAAAGACATTACAAAGATTAAGAATCGAACTTTGAATAATTAAACAAAAAAAGCGAGTTATAAATGAAAGCAGCGAACAATTTTCAATTACAGGGTTAAATACCAATATTCTGGTCACAAATGGCAATCTTGGAGATATAGACATAGGAACCATAACAGGGCAATGCTGTCTGGGGGGAGGGGAGAAGTGACCCTCCAGCCCTAGTGGCTTTTTATTGTTTTAAACAGAAAGCTACTGGCCTCCTCTATATAAACAAAGTTGACCCCCGGTCAACTTCCTTTCGAAAAGACTATGAACCATGAGCTGGGCAACACATTCCTATTTAAGGATCATGGGCTTGAAATTGCCAGTAAAGTTCTATTAGGGAACTTTGCATTAAGTTAGGAAAAATTCTGTTAGGAAAGTTCTTTTAGAGAACGTTGCAAAAAGTAAAAAAGATTTGAAATAATTAAATATTAAGATGATTGTAAAAAATTCGTGTGCATATATTTGGCAAATGAAAGAAGTGAATAATAGAAGCTTTTATGCTACGAGCAGGTTGATATGTCAATGATACAACACTTATAAGTAAAGAATTAATGCGTGGTGTGACAAGCATTATGAAATCCTGGCAAAAACAAAATGCGTTCATTGCCTTATAGTCAACTTTGACACGTTAAATTAGAACTTGGAAATGGCTGAATTTAAGAAAATTTGTTTGGTAACTTCAAAACTTAGGCCGATAAAAAATGCATATTTTTTGTCTGAATAACAGTTTGTAGTATAAAATGCCTGAGTTGAAATCATTTAAACAGCAGAGACAAATACTGTTAGAAAATTTTCCATACACTGCTTCGGTGATAACGGCCCCGTGTAAGGACCAAATTGAGAGGAATTGTCGACTTGAAGACTGGAACGCGAAGAAACAAAAATCAGTTCAATGACAAGCCTGTTTCTGGAAGCTTTTCCAAGTAGCTCTGGAATTCTAGACTCATGCGGATTCTACTGTGGATGATAGCATCAAACATTATAACATACGGACATTCATTAACAAACATTATAACAAAGATGTGCATTAATTTTTAGAGTAGAACGAGAGGTTGAGATTACCTCAATGTGAGCTATGGCATGCTAAGTCAGATGAAGCAGACGCATACAATGGCTGGTATGACGATGACCATTGCTAGGTAGCACCAGAACATTATCTTGTCAATCTTGGCTGAAATTATTCGCCATTTGTGTTGGTTGGTCTCTGCTTCATCAATCGTTGGAATAACCTCCCCAGAGATTGTAGAGAAGCGTTTTGTCAGATCAGGTCTTTGTTGTGCTACGGTTTCCATTGTTTGCATAACCAGACCATCGCTTTTCATCTGATTTTCCTTGACGGTATCAATTGGTCTCAAATGTTGCTTCTTTTTGAAGAGCACTCTCCACAGCCATTTGGGCGGTTCATTAGTCTTGTAGCAAAGATGGGTGGTGACAATGCCAACACTTAATGCAAGGACCAAAAGAAAGAAGATAACAATGTACAATGCACCAATCAATGGTGTCCTGTCCGACTTCTCTGGGAGCTGGTCTGATATCACAAGCAAGTACACACTGAGTGCCAAAACCACAGTTACACCAAATCCAGTTCGCTCTCCACTGTCTGCAGGAAGATAGAACATAAACGGTCCCAAAAATACGAGCCCTAAACATGGCAACACAAGGTACAACATGTAATACGTGAACATTCGTTTGAGTGAAATTGAATACTCAATCAACGCATATGGTTCTGGACTCCATTCGTACCTCTCCGAAAGTTGTCTCGAGGATACACTGCTGATATCCCAATCTCCATTCGAGTAGTGAAAATTTCCCTGCATTCCTGCAGCATTTTTTGGCTGCTTTCTGAACCTGATATTAAGCCTACTGCGGGTGTATGACAATGATCCGAAAGTCAGTTTGCATTCTTGATTGTCGAACGGGAACCATTTGATATCAACGGCACAAGAAGCCTTCAGTGTTACTGGTGCAACCCAAATGATGTCTCCGTCGTGGTTGATCAAAACTTTCGTCTTGTACATATCAGATGGATCTCTGCTGTCATCCCTGGCAGTATTATAAAGCATAATATCAGGTGTCCAGATTTTTGAATTGGGCACATTCAGATAATTTGTGCCATTCCACTCGGACATATTCCACGCAAGCTGAGGATCCCTCCATTTCAAAAACAATTTTGCGTTGATCACTAGCAATTGCTCCTTCATGTCCAGTTTGACAATCTTATTTAATCGCAGCTCGAAGTTGACGTATACAGGTTCGTGATT